CTGGAACCTTTCCCTTACCTGGACATCACTGTCTCCTTAACAGCTGAGCTGTCACTGGGAAGTGAAATTGATTACAATTTGTTTTTATGCCACAGCTGTCGTTTTTTACCTCAGCTGGTTCCCATAATTCCACAGATGGTAAACATATGTTTATAGGCCCACAGAAAAAGAAGCTATATTGGGTTCCTCCCATCTCAAATTCTTATTTTTCTTTTCGCGCAGAAAGTCAAAGTCACAGAGCTGGGAAATCTTATACATTTGCAGATTAATATTTCTGGGCGTTAAGACTTTGGAAACAGCAGGACAGCTAATGATATGCTAATGAGCTGACAGTTTTTATTGATCGTAATGAAAGTCGACAAGTGTCTTTCTTGGCTTTTATGCAAGCTGGAATATTTTATTAACTGTCTTCAGGGCAGAAATACATAATTGGTCGCATTTTGAAAATCCTCCTTGTGAGTTCTCAAGTCTTACTTTTTTGTTAGCCTGTTAGCCTGTTGCCAAAGCTTGGGTCCTTGCCAGTTTATAAACAGAACACATCTTCATCCATATATTTACGTGCCCAGCAGGAACTCTCCCCACCCCCTTTCCCTTTCAAAGCAATTCGTTTCAGTGTTTTAGCATACAAAAAGAGAGCCATTTTCTTTAATGTAAACAGAGATCTGCAGGGAAATAAGAGCTTTAAAAAAGAATTAGCATTTGTTTGGCTGCAAAGCTGCTTTTATTTGGACCAGAAAGCTCTGAATGTTAGAAGGCCTTGCCTAATCTTAGTTATTCCACACATAAAAGGGTCCTAATGGTATAATTTTCCTAATCTTTATCGCATCTTTGTAGATTTCTTACTGTGGAATGAGAAATGTTCTTGGAACAATGGAAATAATGGGCACTAGTTCCCCAAATAAAAACTCCTAATGTACAACTTACCTGGTGCAGATGTACCTTGCGGTGCCTGGTGAGCTGAGCGCAGGAGGTAGAGGCTGGCAACAGGTGAATTCAACAATGGAAAAAGCCTGTCCGTTTTCCTCCCCTTCCATCTGTACTAATAGTAAAACTTTATTAATTTGGGCTTTGAACTTTAGGGATTTATTTAGGTTCTCAGCTTGGCTGAGGTTTAGCGTTGCAGGAACGATGTGGAAACGGATCGTTTAGCAAATTAATAGTGTAAATAAGATTGCAGGGGGGGAATATTAAGCTACCTGAAAGCATCTTTGTTTGCCAGCCTTAAAACAACTATTTCAGCAAACTGTTAGCCTTTAATGCAAGTAACTTATGTTCAGTTGATTAAGTATTTACCCATTAAAGCAACTAAGATAAAACCTCATTTTGATAACAGGACCTTGTTCTAGCAACATCTTTTTAGGTCATGTAATGATGAGATTTTGTCTTATGATCTGTTTTCTCCTTAAGCCATGTTGGAGTGGGTTAGCACTGGTCTTGGAATTAGACTAAGATGAAGGCGTCCTTTAGGAAAAAAGCTACTTAAGGTAGCAAAGCCTTAGGTTTTTCGTAGGTCAGCTGGCCAGGTAATCTGGCCCTGCATCAATAATAATAATAATAATAATTTGATACATTGGGTGTATCAAAATCACCATGCCAGCTTCTTCAATATATATATGATGTTCTCCTCAACCTTCTCTAAAATTCTAACATGTACCCCCAGTTTAAAAACTGATATCCTACAAGAGCTTTAAAGACTCTGCCATCTATGAAAATGATATTGCTCAATATTCTACAATTCATAGTTTTTAGGAATTTGATGCTTTTCAAGGATGCAAAGTGCCTGCTATGTGAAATATAATACAGTAGGAACTGCAGGGGACCCTGAGATGAAAATACGACTTTGCCTTCGTGGTGTCTATAATCTAGTAATTCTGTTGGTTGTAGTTCAGTTCCAAAACGCTGAGATTTTATTCATATGTTAGGATTTGGATGTTGCTATTTTTACCACTGTGAACTTTTAATGAGTAAAGCGTCCTGCTTCTCCCCGTCCTCCAAAAGAAAACAACCCACAAATGATGGACAGTGGAGCAGGGATTTTTTTTTTTTTTTTTTTTTGTGGAGCTCTTTAACATTGAAGTTTCCTGGGCTCACCCAACCCCACTAAAAAAGAAAATTTGAGGGTTGACCTAGGAATCTGAATGTTGAACTTGAGATATTTACTCAAATTCATGTTTATACAAGGTGATTCTTAAGAAACACAGTTTGGGAAGCACTGCCATGATTAATGATATGAAATACGCATGAATCTGAAAAAATGAGATCAGATGGGGCCAGCTAATATATGTACTGCTTGAGTTACATTTTTCAGTAGATATATTTAACGTTAGAAGAATTTTTATTCATTCTTTTCTAATTCTAATTTCATCTTTGGGAAAAGTTGCAGTACTTGAAGGAACATTATTATCAATAGAAATCCTTTATATAGATAACTTTCCTGTGAGAAATAAGAGTTCGCTCCTATGTGGGTTTATACTTTATATAAACTCTTTTCATTTTCTAAGGAAAACTACATGATCAGCAAATGCTACTTTTATTGACAAAGGTCCAGGTACAGAAGAGTTCATATGGCAACTCAATGAAAACCTTCTGGGTTTTGTTTTGGGCAAAGGTGCTAGGACGTGTGTGTGTGTGTGTGTGTGTGTGTGTGTGTGTGTATACATGATCAGACTGCTTTGGGTCACATCTGGCATTTGTACAGTGTATGACCATCCTCCTTTTAGTCTAGCGTGGAATTACATCCATTCAAATAAATTACATTTCCATCTTGACTTATTTGGCAAGAACAAGTATTCATGCCAGTATGTGGGCTGCCCTCATGACCTTTCCTCAAAAACAAATACCCCAGTGCTTTGAGTGTTGGTGTTAAAGGGCAGTGAGGAGCTGTCAGCCTTGATTTCTGTTTGTGTTCAAGTCAGCATCATTGACCTTCACCTAATGATCTGTGTAACACCCTCGTGTGGATCAGATGAAAAGTGGAAAGGCAGGTGATGATGGAGGCAGGTAGAAGGAAGGTGCGGGAGAGGCAATTATATTGTAATTTACAGTGTAACTAAAATCAGTAGTCACCTTTAAAGTAGGAAAAGGAAATCCGGTATGTACTAAATTCTGTTGCTACTAAGTGAATAAAGGGGGGATATTCTTTTCGAATGTGTTTTCCATTCATTTTTAGAAAGGTAATTAATACTGTGGGTTTCTGAGTGCCATTTCTATGGCTGATTAAAAATAGGAATGATTTAGGCTTTTCTGATGAATAGGTAATAGATGGTTCCGATCCTTCCTGAGTCTTATGCTTTCTCCACTTCCACATCTCCCAGGGAAATCCACTGTCCCCGGGGGGAATCCACTGAATCTGTTTCAGTGCGGAAGGTCCTATGTCCCGGGAAACCCTGAACCCTGAGCAGACCTGGGATAGTTGGTCACTATGAATTCACCATATTCAACCTCTTCAAATCAGACCGATGTTTTTAGATGTGTCACTCCATTTTCTATAATGATCTTTGATGGAAATCTACAGCTTTGTCTAATTTTTTGCTTAACTTGAAGTGAGAGCATAGAAATGTAGTGTGACAATCTTGGTTTGAAAGCCTTGGTTTCACTGACCCAGGGCTCGAGTCCTGGAAGGATCCTTAGCTTTTGCGTCCAGTCTTTTTTTCCAGAGGAAGCAACTGAAGCTCAGAGCAGATGGTTGACTTACTGTTTCAAGTTCACTCAGTTAACTTGAGATGGATCCGAGAACTTGAGCCCAGGTCTCCTGACTTCCAATCCCATGCTTTTCTCATATTGCTCAAAAGTGCTTGAAAGGTACCTTGGGCACCTAAAGGCATTAACTTGCTGTGAGAAACTGAGCAGCCTCGTGCCAGGAAGAAGCTGATTGACTTAGATGGTGTCTCTGGACCTTTAATTGCTCTCTGGAACTCCCCTCCAAAAGACTATGAATTCATACTGAGGAGCAGTGGCAGGGAGTTCCTCCCCATGGAAAGGCTGTCTCCTCCTATAATCACAAATGCTGCATCATCCTCAAAGAGGAAGAGGTTAATAAATATATCCAACTCTAAGAAAGAGGTTCTATGGTCTTGTTATTTCCACTACTGTTTCCAGTTCATATTTTATTTTGCAATAATAAGCAGAAAACAGCCTTTGTTGACTACTTTCTATATAGAAGATGAGCACATAAATGTTACCCTTTCTGGAAGACTTTCAACACCGTCTTAAGCCTATATTTTATTTACAGATTAAGCTCAGTATTCTGAACGGCTTCTGTATCTTCCATCTGTTCTGTAATATCTCTTCCATCAAATCAGGAGGAAAAAACAACCCTCAAAACCAAAATCTTGACAGTCAACTTGAAAAATCCAAAAGCCAAGTCAATATTTTCATTGCAAGATGGCAGCTTCAATGACTTTCTTAAATCAGGGCTGTTCTTCCAAGCTAAGTTACAGAATTAAAAGACTCCCCTTCTACTCACAGTGAGATGTTGAGCAAGTTTTAAGACTCAACAACGAACACTCTTGTTACTCGATTAGCAGAGAGCGAAGATTGTTATGCAATTCTCTCCATGTCTTCCTTTATTTCTTGACTAAATGAATCAAAAAATTTTAGTCTCCTTGTATTGTCTCTTCTCCCTCGCTTAAAAGAAAATCACCCAGGTCAGCAAAATTTAATGTTCCAGGATGACTAAGGCATTGAGGAAATTATTTCATCAGTGCCTTTTTGGTCCAATAGTTGAAGAACATTTACTGGTAGATCATTCGTGTTATAATGTCATTAGCATCCACCAGTGGGAACTAATGATAGCTTTCTCAAGGCAAACGTCCTTTCCGAGATTTCCGAAAGATGATGGTTTAGAGTAGTTCATTGGGGACTAAGGCAAACTTACCTTCTGAATGAGGATACCAGTGTTGTAAAAAATAATGTGCCCTGCAGAGAGCGTGTGACTGTACAGGGGCATTTGGAACTGGTGACTATAATCTTGATCACCACCTCTCTCTTCTCTTATAAAGGGAATCATCCAAGATGGGAAAATCATCTTTATGCCAAATGGATACATAACTCAATGTCCAAACCTGAATCGCAGTAAGTAACAACTTGAAGCATTTATAAATTTCTAATATTATATAATTTAGTGATAATAAACATGTCACACAAAGCATAAAAAATGTTGGCTTCTGAGGTAGTGGGGATAGGGAGATAATTTATTGTCTATAATATATACTTCTGTGTCTTTGAAGCTTTAAAAAAGCTCATGTGCTTATAGAATTACCATTTGAAGGTGAGAAAAAGACTACGTGAGCAGTTTGGGTCCTGTAGATTGATACAGGAAGATAGGTTTAATAAGATAGTATCACTAGTAAACATTTATTTAAATTCCTTGGCTTAGATGTGAGCTTACTTTCTCCACTTCTATAACGATTCATTTTTCCAGTCACCTCTCAATAAAAATGAGGGCTTAATTTTAATTTAAAAATGTTATATTGGCTTTTCAGTTAATAGTCCTTTTTCCTTTTTCTGTTAATAAAAGGAAAAGACCAAGACCTGAAATCCTGGGTGATTTCACTCCAATTGCAAAGTAATACTTAACCAGAAAAGCAAAAACCCTTTGACATAGCCAAGCAACTACTGTTGTAAAAATCTCTTTATTGTATTAGCACTGTATCAACATTTCTTATATTTTCTCTATTGAGCTTGTCCAACTTGCAGTGATTTCTTAAGCCTGGTGCAAGGAATAATGGATTTGCAAGAACTTTTGGCCAAGATGACTGCAAAAGTAGGTATCTAAATTTCACTTATGATGTTTCATTTCTTTCTCCATCCTATCTGGAATTTCAAGCGATATGGTATAAAGGAAACATTTTTAGCCTTGGTATCTGCAGTGTGTTACAATAAAAATGGTTTATTCTTCCTTGAAATAGGACTACCTATGGTAAACATAACCATTTACCTCTTTGATACTATTAGGCTATATCAAAATGTTTATTTGAAAAATGTTTGGAAGAAAGGGGCCATATGTATCACTGTAGATTCCTTGGGAGAGGAAAAGGGATTTGCCCACTGGCCATTCAACTAGTAACACTGTGAGATGATATATGATCAGAGACACTGCTGCTTATAAGCTAATGCGTTCTGAATGTAAGAATAATTGCCAAGAATCAGAGGGGCAAAAATAGCCAGGTTAGGAACAGATTACTGTCATGAGAAGGCATTATATCACATGTCTAAGATGTGATTTGTTTCCAGACTGGTCTTGAGTTAAATAGTGAAGGAGGCAAAGTTTGCCTCTTAACACATTCAGTTTTATAACTGCACATCTTTTCCTCCCTCCATCATCCACTTAACAAGCATCTTTCAAGGGTCTGCTGTTTGCCAGGCACTGTGTCGGGCACAAAGGAGGCCAAAATGAACGAGACGTGATTTCTACCCCTGGAAGATATCGAGGGTGGAGCCAAAAATGTAAACAATTAGGAGCTTTAATATATGAAGTTTAAATTCATAATGAAAAGTCCTGAGCACTGTGTTGAAAGGCACTGAATAAATAGAAAATGTGTGTAATGCTGTTGTTATGATACCAATCAGTCGTGGACGTGAGTCCCAGCCTAGGGCGAAGACGGAATTAGGTTGGGCCTCAGAGACATTATATTCTGTGAAAGGAAGAATTTTAATAACAGTGAAAATGTACATTCATCCTGTTCCACCTGAGGCTATGACTGCTCCCAGCCATCAGCCATGGCACGTGGAAAAAAAAAAAATCGGTGGGTTAGGTAAGTGTTTAGGATGCAGGGCTGTGCTTTGAACCCATCAGTAGTGCTGCCGAAGATAAGGTTTCTCTTTCAAACTGGGTTTTTGGCCAAGTCATCTTTTGTGTGGAAAGGAGAGAGGGAACACTTTTGTTACAGACCCTGAGACTGAGAGCTGAAGCATTGGCTTCTCACTTCAGAGTGCGGCAGTAACATGAAATGCAGCCAATTATTTGGCTTCCCAGCTTGTGACATAGACACTTGTATTTTATATCATCTGGAGCAGCTTGATCTCAATAGAATTAATTATATTTTAACTTGCTACCAAGTTTTTGGAACAAGAAACTTGCCACTCAGTCTCCGATGATTGTGGTTTCCTGGCTTTAAGGATAACCCTTTCTCATTCTCCCCTTCTGCAGAGAATGTCATTTTTCCCCCCTCTTTTTAGCCATATATGATCTGGGAACCACATTGAGCTCTGTCCTCCAAATATTATTATGTAAAATGGGCATTTGTGAGGCAGAAGAAATTTAATTGTGGGCAATTTCATCCACTTTCTAAACTCCGCCTCTGGCACTTTGGAAGATTTATAAGTCTGTTTCTTCCAAACTGTGAATAGAATTATAATTAGAAAACCCAGAACTTCCATTTCACTGCAAAATTTTGGAATCTACAATCTAGTAGAGGAGAGTTGGTAAAGTTATTCTCCTAGAAAGGATCAGCTAGTTAATTTTAGACTTTGCAGGCCAAGAGGCAAAATAGAAAATACTGTGTATATTTAAATAATAATCACTTAAAACATAACCATTAAAAAGTGTAAAAATCGTTCTTAGCTCACAGGCCATAGGAAAATGAGTGGCAGGCCAGATTTGGTCCATGGGCCCAAAGTTGTCAACCCCCAATTTAGAAAAAGCTTGGAGGTCAGTCATATGAGTTAATATTTGCTATGTGTTACAGCGCTTAAATTTTTATATTCCCCGTCACTTTAATGCTCACAGCAGTCCTGTGAGTTGGGATTGATTTATTAGCCCGTTTCCCAAATGAGAAGACTCAGTTACAGGCAGGTTATGTAACTTTTCCCAAGACGATGGATGGCAGAGCTGGGGCTCAGGCTCAGGTTCTGAAAGCTGTGTCACGACTAAGAAAGTCCATAGTTGGAGAAGGGAAGATTGGAAAGAGAAACAAAAGACATAAAGAAGGAATGATTAATGGAGAAAGGGAAGTTGGCCGCTACCAGTGTGAGGATGGAAAGATGGGTGAGAACAGTGTGCAAATGGTAGAGAGGAATGCATATTCAGATGGTACCTGTTGGGGGTGAAACATGAGCATAGAGCTTCTGGTAGCTTTTGGAAGGGAAAGTCATAGCAAGAACAAAGCTCCTAAACTCATCCTTTGGATTGTAGGTGATTGTTGTCCTTGGAAAGCTGTTGAGGTTTTGAGTCCTGGGTTCTGATGGTGTGTGTTTGTGGGAAGACCACGCAGGTCCACCTTCTATTACATGATCTCCTTAAAGGTTTTCAGATTGTAGAGGCTGCTCAGAATCACACTGCAAACAGAGGATAGGCCAGGTGAATTCTCAGCAAAGAATTCTTAAGGAAGATATTTCCCTCTTGCCCATGCCAAGGTGAACAGGAAAGTCTTCTTTCTGTGCTTTGTGCAAACCTCACTTCCTTTATGTTAACTCTTAAACTGAGGCTATAGGCTTTTGGGGCCACATCTTCATGTAGGAGTTTAAGACATCCCAAGATGGGCAGACCCTATTCCCAACTCCTCTCCCCGCTCCCTGCGCAGCCATCAGGGTGGGGGCTTGGAGGCTCATTAACCTTTTTCCAGTTGCTGTTTCCCCATATGTAAAAGGGCACAATTAATTTTGATTTTATAAAGATCCCATGAGACGAGGCAACTGAGATTTAAAGGTCTTGTTTGGTGTATGACACACAATAGGCTTTCAATAAGCTGTAGTTGTTCATTTTATATTGTAAAACCTAGAAAAAAAATAGGCAGCCATGCGGGGAAGATGGTCACTAAGAAAGCGCACACCTTGCCTAGTGGGTTGGCATCCCAGAGCCTGGCAAAAGCCGTGAGTTGCCGTCAGGTTCCTGGTCCAGAGTTAGGTGGCAACAGGTCTTGGAAAGCGGCAGAAAGCCCTTACACTGTGTCCTGGTGGAAGCCATGGAATCCTACCAGAGAGCCAGCCCAGTGCACAAGCTGGACAGGAGTTGGTAGTCATCATCACATCAGACCTGTGCAGACATCCCATCAGCCCACGGGTCTGCCCAGGAGGGCTTGTTGTTTCTTGACTCTTTTCAGGACAGGGGGTGCTTGAGAATGACCCTTGCTGAATATGGGACATATCATGGGAGCAGCTTGCATGTACCTCCAGGTGACAGGTCAGGGTATATAGGAGCCCTCTTTGAAGAGTCCTGGCATTATGGCAAAATTAACCTTTTTCAAGGTAGAGAAGGTGCAGGAAAACTGTCTTCTGTCACCTTCCCTAAGCTGAGTACAAGAGCCCACCAGTCCCTGGCTTACTCTGAAAGTTCTCTCAGGTAGTTTTGACATTGTGGTAACTACCCCATTGCTGGGCAGGTGTGTTGCGATGGGGTCCGCACCTGTCTTGCTCTTGCCATCTACCTGTGCTGCAATGACCTTCTGCCGTCAAGCTGGGGAAAGAGAGATGCTGGAGGCTGGAAATTTCTTGATTACTTCTGTTCAAATCTCTGACAACCCTATTTATGCAGATCAAGTGGCACTTGGAGTGGCAGTTCAGCTTGTAACATACTTAATTTTAAGACTTTCATCATTTTGAGGAGCTCAATAGTGATTTTTTTTTTTTAGTTAAGCTTCAAGTTTTAACATAATAAAAGATTTTTTTTCTCCTCAATGTAGCAAGTGCCAAGTAAAGGTATTTCAAAGAAAAAGCACAACCCACTGCACGACTAATGTACTCATCCATTTGTTGACCTCTTACTGTGAAAAAGGCCTCTGATGTCTGTCTTTGAATGTATAGAGTTAAGAATAAATGATTCTGTCTGTGGTTGCTTAGATAAATGCATGAACAAAGGTAAGAATGAATAGAAATGTAGGTTTGCTCCTAGATCTATTTTGGATCTGTAGGCATCCTTGTAGAAAATGGCAGGTAGTGTAGAAGTAGCTTTTGAAAATGAATTTGGGTAAATTCAGCATGCTGATACCAATGACAAATTGTAATTCATTTTTCGGGTCAGAGTTGTTTTTCTCCTTTTAGTGTTCTAGTATCAAGCAGGGGAGGGATAAAGGAAGATAAAGTTACATATTAAGTGTTTTTGAAAAATTAGCTTTTTTGCCTTAATATGTCTTTGCTTTTGTGTTTGTCTCATGGACTCTTCTTATTACAGAGATTAGGGCTTTTTCATCGTTGCCAGAAAAGACTAAATATATTAAAAAATAAAACAGAGTTGGGAAGGGAAACATCTGCCCTGAGAATAGCTTCCACTAAAACTGAGTTTTCTTGGTATTGAGTTTTATAGGTGAGCATAGCTCAGTTTCATTGGAAAGTATGGGAAATTGACAATACTGCCTTTAGGCAAATTCCTGGGTTTTCAGGAAACTTGGGCAGTCACAGAATTACCTTTTGGGTCATTTAGTCGTTAAGAACTTTCTCAGAGGGCTACAGGCGCTAGATTGTTCCGGATTTTCAGAGTGAGGCTCATTTCTTCTCACAAATACCCTGTTCTCAGCTGCTCTTAGGAGGGATGCAGGTCTAGTTCAAGTTTTTCAACCCAAGGTCATCCATCAGTCACTACCTTTTGTGGGAACTATAGGCACTAGAGAAATGAAGTAAAGGTAATATGCAATAAGTTACCACTTACTACGTAGTCTTACCGCTATGTGGTTTTACTGACCTGGCCTCCCCAAACTCTAAGGAGTGTGTTTAGTGTGCTCCCTAGAGAATTCCCAAATAACTTAATTATCATAGATTCTAGGAATTGTAATTAAGCTAGATTCATAGGTAATCTGAATTTTTGGAAGATTGTGCGTATGGGAGGGGGTCCTAGTAAGCTACTATTTTAGGCATAGTTAACTCTCCATTTCTTTGGGGCTGATGATGGTGTGTGCGATTTTGTCTAGCATCCCATTTGCCTTTTTCCCTGCCTGTTGGTACCGCCCACAAGACGCAGATGAGGAACTAGTTTTCTTGGGAGATTCTAAAATTTTGTGTGTGTGTGTGTGTGTGTGTGTGTGTTTAAGATTTTATTTATTTATTCATGAGAGAGAGAGAGAGAGGCAGACTCACAGGCAGAGGGAAGCAGGCTCCATGCAGGGAGCCCAGCGTGGGACTTGATCCTGGGTCTCCAGGATCACACCCCGGGCTGAGGGCGGCGCTAAACCCCTGAGCTACCCGGGCTGCCCAAGATTCTAAAATTTTGGAGGAAGAGAATGAAATAAATGTCAAAAGCCAAGTTTGGAATTGCATGGGGATTCCATCTTTAGACAGTAGTGCTCAGCAGTGCTGGTAGGAGTAATGGAGAGGAGCATGTATGGAATGGAACCATAGTTAGCATAGAAAGATGCTGAGAGTCCTCAGCTCGTATTCAACCGTTATATCCAAAATGTTGGCTTGAAGTAGTCTTATTTAGATCAGAGACTGTCTTGATCTCCTTTGTGGGGAAAATACAGAAGACGAGGAGGTTTAAGTATGGCCGAGAAAGAAAAGAGGAACTAGTGGAATTTTTAGGCAGTAGTATGTTTTTCAATCAAGGCAGTCTCTAAAGGAAAGGGAAAAATGGTATTGCTGCTAATGGATTGAGTTACACTTGAGTATGTGCGAGATCATGTCAGAGTTGAATTTTTCGCACCTTATGTTTGAAGGCAACTGCAGTAGGCTGCATGGGAAATGATCTGGAGAGAGGATTGGATTCCTATCGTGATGAGCAATTCATGGTGTTGCATGTGATCAAGAGCAGGTGTGAAGACAAACTAACCTCAAATGTTTGAAGGAAGTAGATGGCTTAGGATGGGTTATGAGGCAAAACTAGGTCAAATAGGAAAAGCAGGGAGAGATTTCATAGCTCACACCGAGGAAAAGGTTTCAAACATCCAGAGCTCACCAAAAAAAGTTTTTAAAGATAATGTCCTCTCCCCGTGAATGTGCAAAGAGAGGCTGATGAGTTACTGGAAAAGGTTACTTGTCATGACATTCAAGCTTTATAACCCTTTTCAAATCAGAGCTTCTAAGGTTCTGTGATTACTGGATAATAGTTGGTTGACCTAGGAAAATGAGAAGTTTCTCTATAAAATCCTGATTTTGCCTAGGGGTTTGGTTGCCTCTCTTCATTTTTGAACACCAAAGCGGATTTCTGGGGCATTGATTCCGGGGTGGACAGGGGGTGGGGATGGGTTCTGAGCTGGGCAGAACTAGATCCTTGTATGCATTTCCATTTTCCTGGCCTCAGCTCCCAGGAATTTTTCATAAGAGAGGAAGCAGTGACTTCCAGCCTGAAAACTGACACACTGGTTAGTGTGTGAACACAGAGCGAATGTGGGAGATAAATATAAGTGCATTGGAGTTGTTGATTAGATCTCCTGTAAACACTGTAATGAGTCCTGGAGACTGCATTCATTATGAGTGCTTCTGTGGGGCTTGAGCTGAAGCACACATGTTTATGTACACCCATGAGGTCCCAACATACAGTTTAATGTCCCATTTGGTGCTCATTAGACCATAGGAGCCAATATGTCTTCAATTTAGAATGATTCCACCTCAGGTTGTGTGTGTGTGTGTGGTTTTTTTTTTTTTTTTTTTTTTTTTTTAAATAAGCGGGCTGAGATGAGTAACTTGCTCTGAGCGTTTTTTTTTTTTCTCCTCCTACTTGGATTATTATTGTTGTTTTTTCTTGTGGGTATTAGCTTTGTTAGGATAATGCAACTGAATGAAAGAAATTACACCTAGTAACTCTTATTTGCAGTTAAATTATGCAGAGACGAGACTTAGTCAGTTGGAAAACTGTCATTGCGAGAAGACCTGTCAAGTGAGTGGACTTCTCTATAGAGATCAAGACTCCTGGGTTGATGGGGATCACTGCCGGAACTGCACTTGCAAAGTAAGCTTCTTCGTTAATAAACATAGTTGTAAGGGGGCATTTTCACTAGTTGCTGTATAATCTGGCCTTGTAATAAACAATGATGGCTCTAAAAAGCCGGTGTGATCTTTCTACTAAGCTCCTGCCTAGCAACCAGGGCAATTGTGAAGGGAACCTGGAAGAGTGCCATTTCATCTCTAAACACTTGGAAATTAAAATCCGCTTCCACGTGACAACACACTCTAAGATGACCTGACACTGTTGCTAACCAACTTACTGTTTGGGATTCGAGGGTTGAGAATATCGAAGGGGGAGGAAGGGACTCCTGTGATTTTTTTCAAGCCACCTAACGGTTAGCTTCGTTCACAACTTTTCACTGCTAGGATAAATCTTAAAAGGGTGTATAATTAGTTTCTAGATGTTTTTATTACAATTTAGGAGGTAGCCATTTCCTGTTTGAGACACTTGCAAGATATACCTCCCCCCGCCGACTTTCAGGATATCCATCATTTGTCTAGTCCCTCTGTTTCAGAGAATTCAAGAGCACCCCCAAAATTAGTATGTGAACTCTGTGCAATTGAAATTACTTGATAAATATCTGGTGACTGTCTTTGGGAAAATACAAAATGGATTGTTAGAGCCTCGATACTGATTGACAGCATCTGCAAAAGATGTTATTTATGTTCTTGTAAAACCAGGCTTCTGTTTTCTTCCTAATCTCGTTAGCCCGCACGGGCAGGTGGAATGAAGCCAGTGATGTCTATCAGAAAAGTAATGGAGGTGACCCAGGTTCGTTTGGCTGGAGAAAATGCTTCATTTGTGGTCCTGGAGTAGAGTGGGAATTCCTCATGCTGCTTCTCTCTCTCCCTGATGAAGTTTCTGGGATGAGATGTGAGCTTTTGCCACAAAGGGAAATTTCAAAGGGCACTTCTGAGATGGCTTTCCCTGTCCTTCCTTCTTCAGGGTGGTGCTGTCGAATGTCGGAGGATGTCCTGTCCCCCTCTCAATTGCTCCCCGGACTCACTCCCCGTGCACATTGCTGGCCAGTGCTGTAAGGTCTGCCGACGTAAGTACTGACTGAGGGTCAGAGTGGTCCTCTGTGCTTTGAGATTTTTTTCCCCTCCTAATGTTCAGGCCCCAACTGATGAGCTTTGAGGATGTGAAGTACCGGAAGTGGATATTAAATATATGACAAGAAGAACTTAAATGTTTTATTTATTTATTTTTTAAAAAGACTTATTTACTTATGATAGACATAGAGAGAGAGAGGCAGAGACACAGGAGGAGGGAGAAGCAGGCTCCATATAGGAAGCCCGACACAGGACTCGATCCTGGGACGCCAGGATCGCACCCTGGGCCAAAGGCAGGCGCCAAACCGCTAAGCTACCCAGGGATCCCCAACTTAAATGTTTTAATCGCTAATGATGTACAGATATTTTACATAGGCTCTTTAAAAAAAATCTCATATCAACTCTAATGACTATTCTTTCCATTCTCGGTAGCAGGAACTGGTGTTCACAGGGATTAAGAGCTGTTGAGGGTCAGACACCTGGTGTAATGGGTTGTATTGATCACGACTCCAAAGCTCCATGTGCTTTGGTCCTGCTCATTCTGAATGATGAAGTTAAGGGCCAGATCCTATGTTTAGGCTTTTTGAGGTCTTGGCCAGATTTCTTGTTACTAAAAGGCCTTTGTTAGGAATTACGAGATGAACTTCAGTTAAGATACTGAAACAACTTCCTTCCAAGTTGACTTGTCCAGGTTGCAGGATTTAAATATTCTTTCTTTGTTTTGCAAGGGCACTACTTCAGATGAAACAGTGAAATGAGCCTGGAGGCCAGCCGTAAGAGTCAAAGCTGTCATTTAGAGTGCTTGGTGCGTGCCAGTTACTATGTAGGTGCCTCCCTTCTATTGGCTTCCTTCCGGCTCACTGAGTCCTTTGGGTGGGGATTATTATCCCTGTTCTGCAGGAAGTGGAGGGAAGTGAACTTACCAAAGTCGCAACCCTGGTAAGTGACCGAGGTGAGATAGGAAACTAGTTGGTGCCTGACTACAAAGCCCATCATCCTCTCAACAAACTATAGGGTCTTCAGTAACAAGAGGCTAGGTTAGAAACATGGCATCATCCAAGGTCCTTTCTCTACCCAAAATATAACATCACTGGGTCTTCAAAACACAATGGTCTAGCTTTTGTTCAAGAACACCCCGTCTCCTAATAGGACAGTGGAGGTGGGGATAGCTGGTCTGGTCACACCAGCCCAGACCTTTTGTGGACTTTTTCAAAAGGGACTTTTGAATATTCTTCCTCCTTAGGGTTGGCACATTTCACCTATTACCCTGGAGGGTGGTACTTTGAATGGATCTAAAAAGAGAAACTTTGTTTTAAGCACTTTTAAAAGTCCTTTCTGGCAATACAGGTAGCTCAGGTGCCAAGATGTTGACGTGATACTTTGATCCCATGATGGAGAGATTGGTAGATATAGAACATTTTTTCCCCCAATCTTGATATTCTGTATAACTGTGAATAGAGGAAGGGGAGGAAAACTACTGGGAATTTGTTTAAAAAGTGAGTTATTTTTAGTCCATGGTCTTGAGTTTTCTGGACAAGCCTGAATACTGTCTCTCAGAAGTTGTTTGGACATTGGAGTAGATGAGTCCTTCAGCTGTTTTGTGTTTTAATCTTTTAATTTTCTAATTATAAAAGCAGTGTGTTTACCTGTGTAACATTTGAATTCAAAGAGGAGTAAAGATGACAGAAAAATCTCTTATACTACTACTTGGAAACCATCACACTTGAAATTTCAGTGGATTTCATTTTTAAAATTCTATTTCATGTGAAGTTGCGATCTTATTTTGCAGATAATTTCTATCCTACTTTATTGACATCTGTATATATAAGGGCTTGAACTCATGACCCTGAGATTGAGTTATAGGCTCTACCAACTGAGCCAGCCAGGCAGGGACCCTTGTTGACTTACTGTTATCACTTGTGTATTCCTGTGCTTTAAAGAACACTCTATAAACTTCTTTAAAAAAACTTATTTAAATTATTAACACATAATAATATTAGTTTCAGAGGTAGAGTTTAGTGATTCATCAGTCCTCGGTAACACCAGTACTCCTTGTGTCATGTCCCCTCCTTAATGTTACTGCCCAGCTGTATTAACTTCATTTTGATGAGCTTCAGGGTGTTATAATTTTTGGCTCTTGCCTGCATTACTTATTTAACCATTCCCCAATTGTTAGATATCTAGCTCTCCCACTTTTCACTTACAAATTACTCAGTAATGTATATTTATAGAAAACACATTTTGTATTTTATATTTTCTTAAGATACAGTTCTCCAGAGTAGGGTCAGTGGGCCAAACACTGCCATTTTCAAGGCCCTTGATATATGTCACATTGTCCCCTCCAAAAAGTGTTGGGGGTAGTCACTTTTCTTTATTCCAACTCATTTGAGAGTTTTGTTTTGGAAAATATTTTAGCAAGTTACATGATTTTACCAGCATGCTCATATACAGCTCACAAAGACATCAGTGTGTGTGTCTTTTTCTTTTCTTTTCTTTTTTTTTTTTTGGTTTGTTTTCTTTGTTTTGTTTTTGCTTTTTTTATTTTTTAAGATTTTATTTATTCATGAGAGACACAGAAAGAGACAGAGACACAGGCAGAGGGAGAAGCAGGCTCCATGCAGGGAGCCCGACGTGGGACTCAATCCCGGGTCTCCAGGATCACACCTTGGGCCGAAGGCAGGCGCTAAACCGCTGAGCCACCCGGGCTGCCCTGTTTTTGCTTTTGTTTGGAATCATAGCAATTTAGCTAGGCAGAACTAATTTTCTCACCAGCTCCGATTGGTGGTTTGGTATATTTGTAGTTTAACAAAATGGTAATAAAAATAAGTGAATGAACACTAGTTAAAAAAAAGGAACCAAAAACAAATGATAATAAAGCAAGTCTGGAAATTATAAAGGTTAAGAACCCTCTAGCTTAGAGGGTTTTCATTTCTTCATAGTTTTTAACAGAAATATGCATTAGGCAGTTACTGAGTGCTGGTGCCTGGAGTCGTGATAAATGAGCCCTCTGAAGCAAAGAGGTGATTTACAGTGTCTAGAATTCTCCGTGCAGTCACATTAGGCATGTGGAGAAGGCACTTTATCAGGACACAGAGGATGGCTTGTGGGACAGTGTTGGGGCGGTTGGCAGGATATCGGCAGTAGGCCTGGGGTGCTCCCTGGAAGAAGTGGAGCCAAGCTAACCATTTCTAGGCTTCTGGAAGATGACTGTGGTGAGTCAAACAGTAGAGTTGGAGCAGAGGAGAAGGACGAATAATAAAGCATAATTCCAACACTAGTAGATAGAATTTCTAGAAGTCCCAAGTACCTTCATATCATAAAAAGGAGGGAGATTTACTTTGGTTGCCCCTTCCAGATAGTTTCCTAAGCTACTGTTTGGGTGGAGCAGTTTCTGGAAACTCTGAGAAAAGGTATTGATCTGGCTCAGGCCAAAGGATCTGATACATAGGAGCAAAAGGTTTTGTTGGCTGACTTACCATGTTTTCATGTACTTGTCATGGCCTCAGGAGCTGCAGCATTTAGAGATGGGGGTGTCTGTTTGGAAATAGGAAAGAATTTGGTTTAAATGTTCATGTCTTAGTCCATTGATTGGAAAAAGTGCTTTGTCCTTCTGTTCTGATCAAAAGACTCAGACATTGATGCTGTCTCCAAGAGCAAGGTAGCTTTCAGAAGGCAGGTTTCATACCGTGGTACTATGATGTTCTTCTTTCTTCTTCCGAAGCATCAGGAATAACTCAAGAGAGCCTTCTATAGATTCATCAGTTGTGGACATGATGGTCCAGGAAGCGGTGTAGGAGTTTACTCCTAAAGGCCCCACCCTGACCTACTAAATCAGAATCTCTGAACAGTGGCACCCCATAGGCTAGTATTTCAGTAGACAGACTTGAGAACTATCATGGGGGTGGTGGGGGTAGGGAGAGGATGATGGAGAGGGAATCTGCAGTTATGCAAAATAACAATTGCAAAGGAAAAGCTGGTAAAAAGAAAAGTCTTTTTGGTAACAGGGTTTCAGTAGGCGAGAAGTAGAAATCTGCAAAGGTGGGTTGCGGATGAGTGAGGACAATGGTCTTCCTTTGAGCTCATGCAGTCATTCTTATTCTCTCAACACTGTCCTTCCCTCTGGGTACAACAATGTGCATGTGTGGTTCGTTTGTTCTATGGCAGACACTGCGTTGAGCCCTTCCAGTGACCCAAAGTCAGTCCCCACTAGTATCATTTTACAGGTGAGGAATTGAAGCACAGAGGAGTAACTTATCCAAGGTCTCCAGCCTTGGTAGAGCCAAAATAAAACCCAGGTGGTCTCTGGCTCCAGAGCTGATGCTCCTAACCCATGTCCTCTTCCCACTGCTGTCCAGAGAGATGTAGGCACCACCTCATTACAACAGAGTATTGTGTAACAGGCACACTGTGTAAGAAGCAGAGGTAGCAGAGAGAAGGGAGCAATGAACTCCATCAGAAGTGTGTGTGTGTGTGTGTGCGTGTGTGTGTGTGTTAGGAACACTTCACAGGGTAAATAACAGCTGAGTAGGGTGTTATCAAATAAACAGGAGTTTGCCATGTTGACAAGGTAGGTGAGAACACATCTGACACAATAATATGTGCAAAAATCAAGAAAGCAGACATTGCATTGATTTTGGTAGTCAAAAGCAAGTTTTGAGGGGAGGGCTGGGGCATAATCAAAGTGTTTCACAATGTCTGGTGCATTGGGAAAGCCAGAGGTAGGGTGGGTGGGTATGGGATTCAGGGATATTCCACGTAGAAGTAATAAAGCCGACAGACCACCACTGCCTGGGGAGAGGAAAAGGAAGGGATGGATGTGAGTGATGGCCAAAAGGCCTGGCGCACAGTAGGTACTCCTTAACCTTTTTTTTTTTTTTTTTGGGTGAGACAGATGAATGAGGGGCAGAGCGTCTGTAAGGGAGAAGTTGCCAGGTTTTGAACAGGAGCCTGTAGGAGACTCCTAGTGTGATGAACAGAACTAAGACAGGTGGAAGAAATAGTGCAGGGAGCAATACATTCTGTTGGGCATGTGTGAGTTGGAGATACTGCAGGGCCAACCAGCGTGATGTGGGCATCTTGCTCAGAGAGGTGGTATCTGGAGCCAGATCTGTGAATGAACTCATTGAGGCAGGGAGGACTCTTGGGTGTTTAACTGAGCTGCCTGTCTCCTTCAGAGTGTAGTACAGAGTGCTGGTTTTGATATTCTGACCCACTGATTGCCAAGGGATGGCTGGAGTGTGTGTAAGGTACAAATACCTAAATATACACAGAGCAACCTAGTGTCCATATCTGACAGGCGTGCCAGCTCCTACCTGTCAGTTGTCTATATAGTGTGCACCCAGATGGCCAAAGTGTCCATTCATTGCCCTGGAGAAATCAGATCCAAATTTGAAAGGCCTGGATCTGTGGGTGCAAGAAGATGTAGTTGAATAACTATTTCTCTACATCCTCAGTACATTTGTTTCTGACATCACAGAGAAGTCTGCATTGGTGCCAGGTTTCAATTTCATGGTCGTACACTGTGAAATACTCTAGTTTGCATGTCCCCAGTGTGATATGAAGGGCTTCAGGTATCCATTTACATTTCTACTCATACTGAAAGCTGTTGGAATGGAGTCCCAAATGCCCCAGCCAAAGGCACTGGAGCCTGACTCCCCTTATGCTTGAATTTCCTCCGACATCAAAAATAAGCCTTTTGGCTGTAGATCAAGAGGTGGGATAATGAGGATTGATGTTAGGCATATGGAGGGCAGTGTCGGAATAGGAGGGGTACTGTCAGAGAAATGGGGGTGAACATGAGAAAGCAGGGGGTGTTTGGGTGACTTCCAGTGGTGATCCTGAAAGCTGTCCTCAGAGAATTTCATTGATAGTTGATATTGTAATCACCTACACACCCTGCACCGGTGCAAATGGCTGAGCCATGCGGCATGACGTTGATATCATTCATAGTCCCCAAAGCACCCTGCTATGTGAGGACATAAAGTTCAGTGGACATTTCATTTTAATACAGGACTGGTAATTTTGAGGCATGTTACTCTGTGTGTGGCATGAATGTAAACAGTAAGACATCACTATCTCCAGACAGGCTCATCCTAAAACTCCTACTAGAGGAGAGGAATCAGGCAAATGTCTTAAAACAGGGTAGCAAGTGTGCTCCTAGCATTTTGTGGGGGGCAAGGGACAAAATGAGGAAGAAAGTCTATTTCTTTGCTTCCCAGCTTGGGCCAAGAAGCAGATGGCAGATTTGACACCAGCGCATTTAGCAGAACTGTCACTCTGGAACAAGCCATCTTGCCAAGTTGGCAGCAGCTGTGTTTGGGAGTGTGGGAGTTTATTGGACAGGAATTCCAGGCCCTTGGAGGATGTGTGGTCTCACCATGTGCGTATATAGGAGAATCTACATCATCATTAGGACCAATGAGTCATGGTCCACTGATTGATCATGAAAATTGAGGCATACACAATGGTCATGGATAACTTTTTAAAGGAAGGGAAGAGGGTTTGATCTAGAAAAATTTCTTTTTTCTGTTGTTCTGAAACTCTTGATACGTGCTTTAATGTTTTAAATCATATTAAATAGCAGAACTCAAACTCTTATTTGAGAATCAGAACTTTTGACTGGTTTCACTACCAACGATAGGCACATTAATTCTAAAATTACTAATTGTTATTAACAAAAAGTCCAGAGAGACACTGAGCTTGGGACTGGAGATGAAATGATGAAATAAACCTGTTTTCTGCCCTCATGGAGATTATAGTTAGCAGCAGAGATGTATAGTGAATTAGGCAACTGAGAGAAAATGTGAGGTGTTAGAGCTAGATCCAGAGTACCACAGAAGCACAAAGTGAGGGCCATTCACCAGTTTGGAAGTCAAGAATAGCTTCTTGCTGGAAGTCAGGCTTACGTTGAAATTGATGGGTATAGAGGATAGGGGGAAGGGGAAGGGAGGGATGAGGCTGCCTATTTCTGGAGAAGATGATAATGTGTGCAAATCCCAAATGTAAAGGAGAAAGTGTGGCCAGGGTATATGTGAAGGTTGAATGTTTGGGGTGGTGGTGGGGGAATAAATGCAGAGGAACTGATAAGCTGTGAAACATAAAAGAGAAGGAAGAGCTACCTGAATGGCTTTATTGAATTAAGGAATTTGGAGTATGTTCTGAGGGCATTAGCAACCCATGATGATTTTAAAGCATGGCCTCATATTATAACAAAATATGTCTGACCATTGTATGGGGAAGGACTCAGTAAGATTGAGACCAGAACATGGGAGACATAGGACACGGTTCTGGGGTACTAAAGATGGGGCTGGGAATGAAGATAGTTGCAGGTGTAGGGACTAGACAAAAATAGGTTGACTTGAGAAACTTAAGGAGGAAGCATTGTTGGGATTTGGATTATGATTGGATGTTGGATTGAGTAAGAGGGACAGGTTAAAAGGACCCCAGGTGGTAGAGTATGGGTGCTAGGTGTATAGTGGTGCTAGAATGGAACATGGAAGGAGGTACTAGAATGGAACAGATTCCAGTTAGGTGTGGGTTGTTGCAGGTCAGGTTCCAACAGGAAACAGACTCTGAAATGGAGATGTGCTTTGTCCTTTATGAGGAAGGATCTATCAGGATCAGTTCTGGGGTAGAGTGAGATCCTGAAGGAAGCAGAATTGGGCAGATGAAGAGTTGAACTGTAATACAGTTACTATAAAACCTTCAGTCATCCCTCAAGTTTTGGAGCTGGAATGACCTTTCACAGTGATTCCTACTTGAGGCCAGGGGCCAGGACTTTGTCCTACCTTTACCAACCACTCATTGTGTGTGGGCTACCCTAGAAAGAGCATTTGACTTTGGATGAGGTGGTTCTTTTCAACCAAGGGGAAGTCCTAGACCACTGTTCAGCTCAGCTATTGATCACCAGTTGCCCCAGCAGCTGCAGGAATGAGTCCTTAAGCCGTTGACGGTGATCTGAGTAGCACACCACAGCAGCCACTATGGGATCATGATAAATGTACCAAATCTCTGGGCTTTCCTCTTCCTGTGGCTAACAAGAGGGTATTGGACAAGTTGATTGCTAAGGTCTATATATACTTGAACGTTCCATGAGAGTTGGAAGATTGTAGGACTAGGAGACTACCAAATTAACCTGTTTTTAACCAATATGGAAATGGAGACTCTGAGAGCTGAGGTGGTTTTTGTAAGACATGTAGTGGGTGATAGAGATGCCTTAGAGTGCATGTCTTCAATTGAGGGCTTCCTGAATGCTACAGAAGAAGGATCCTCATCTGTGCAGGAGAGGGAGTGAGCAGACCTTTGTCTCCCTGTTGATGTGGCTGGAGAACTGAGTGGAGGCACATTAGGATCAGATCACACTAACATATATCCTGCACTTGTTCAAAAGTGGGTCAGCAAGTTGAGTTGAGGACTGAGTCTCAGTGGAACCTAAATTGAATTGTGGGAGCTCCATTTATCCTTTTACCTTTCCTACAAGGCCTATCTACTTTGTGCCTCTCTATTAGCCTATGAAGCTCACCTTTCAAAAGACAGTCTCTCCAGTGCATTGATAAATGTCTTACTGTTTTGGCTTGTATTTCTCAAAGGTTTTTGAACTTACTAGGAACATCGAGTGTATGGGCATGCATCTCCCATGAACACAGAAAAATAAAGGTGTCCTTTTGCATTGTGAGGTTCTGATGAGTGGAATATATAAGTCCTTTTTTACCAACTCGTTCATTTTATGGCTGGACTGTAAGCATCAAAGGTTCTGCTATTGTACTCCATGGAGATGACCACTGCTGCTTCCTCATTTTAACTTCTGACCACATCAATTCACTTTCTAGTTCCTTTAGCAGCTGTGACGTTGAAATAGCTGTACATCCTTAGTGTGAGGGACTCATGGCGAACATAATGGAAGATGACCATTTGATGGGGACCCAACAATTGTCCTCACAATTGTCTTAGCTATTTCCATGTCTTAAATATTCCTATTTTTTTTTAAAGTAGGCTCCACACCCAATGTTGGGCTTGAACTGATGACCCAGAGAAGAGTCGCGTACTCCACCAACTGATCCAGCCGGGTGCCCCACAAGGAGATTCCTGTTGCTTAGAATCAGAGAATCTGTATTCTGTGGGATTCACTTCAGTGGGTGGCCCTCTGAGGCCAGTTAGTTGCAGAGCATGACTGACCTATTTTTCTGTTTTTGTTACAGCAAAATGTATCTATGGAGGCAGAGTCCTTGCAGAAGGCCAGAGGATTTTAACTAAGAGCTGCCGGGAATGCAGAGTAAGTCTCAATCTTATGATCCCCAACCCTTGGGAATTAACAGATAGATTCATGGGGTCTGATAGGGATCTCGAGTGGAGTGTGTTGGCCTGAGTGGGTCCCTGGGGGGACGGACTCTCTGTGGTGGGCTGCTGTCCAGGACTGGAAGGGCCCACCCATTGCCATTGTGCTGCCAGCTTGTGGATCAAGTAGCCTAGGGGAAAGCCACTAAAGGATGTGAGAAGGTGAAGGGAGCCAGCAGTCACTAGGAGCCAGGGAGGTTGGCAGGTGGCCCAGGAAAGGATTTTGACTTGATTTTGGGGAAATCAGTTTGTGATGCCGGCTCTGGATGGTGCCATCTCTAGTCCCAAGGGTCTAATATTGTGAGAAAATGCCTATCTCCTGCCTGCCCTCACCCATCTTTTTCTTGGAATAAGATATGTAGAAGCATAGATCTTCAGTAGTCATTCAGCCAACATACCTTGATCAACTGCTATATGCTCACATGTCCTAGATTTTGGATATGTAGCAGTGAACACAACAGAGTCCCTGCTTTTATAGAACTTGTGATCTAGTGGGGGAGACAGATAATAAAATAAATGCATATACAATATAATGCTAAATCCTATGAAAAATACAAAGCAGGCTGAAGAGATACAGAAGTTTTGGGGAGGTATGGGTGGTCTGGGAAGGGGAAATATTTGAACAAAGCGTGGGAGCTAGCCATGCACGTGTTACTTGGGGAAGGTGCTGTCCTAGGAATGGAAGAGTGGGAGATGGGGAATGAGGGAGCACCCATACAAGGTGGCCTATTACAGGGCAGCCCCAGTCCTACAAGGAAGTCCAGCTGGTTTTGTGGGGTATTCTCAGAGAGCTGATAGGAGCCTCTGCCTCAGAATAGTCCATTTTGTAAGTGGTTGTAACCAAATGATTGCTTTTGCTTTTCATCACATCCCTGAGGAAAAGAAAGGAATCTATTTTAGAGATTGGGAAAAATGAAGCTTTTAGAGACCTGGAGAAGCTTGAATCCAGTTCTTTATTGGGGCTGTGGTGGGTGGTAGGTGGAGGAAAGGCTCTCACCTGTTTTCTACTTCTCAGTGGCTGGAGTTTACCCCTAGGGGTTAACTCCTCTGAACTTTCCTATTGTATTTCCCTCCCCCCCCATTCTTGGGTGCCCCTGGGAATGCCAGAGATTCTATTGCTCTAGACAGTCTGGTGGGTATGGAGGTATGGTGGTCTTTGTGCATGAGTGGATGCTGTGGGAGGAGCTCCTTAGTCTATGGCAGGGGCCGGGGTGGTGTAGCAGGAAGAGCTCTGTGATCTCTGTCAGCAAGGCAGGCTACCAGACCTGGGCATGGGAGAGCTGGCAGGGTAGTCTCCAACCTGGGAGCAGCACATTACCACATTGGACGTTGGGTAGATTAAATGGGATAAAGCATGTGAAGAACCTGGTAGTGTGCTTGGCACAAAGTAAGTTCTCAGTAACACGAGCTCTTCTAAGTCTACATGACCATGCATGTCCTCTCTGAAAATATGATTAGATGTCCTTTTCTCTGTAAGTTGTTTCACTTCTAGGGGAGGGGAAATGATTTGGATGCTAAGACCTTTCTTCTTCCACCTCAGGGGCAGCTGGGATGCTTAGAGGCAGTCTTGCCCACTGTGCTGATGATCCTAGTGGATCCTAGTCTTGCATGTTGCCACTTACAAGTAGCAATGCCCTTTGTTTTCAGTAGAAGCAGTGGGTGGTTCTAACAAGGGTCCCAATTATGACTCCATCTGTTGTCAAACGGTCAAGGCAGAGAATACTGGAGTCCTCTGGGAGATACGGGCATGGATTGAGGTGCCAGCTTATAGGAATAGTCCTTACCACACTGTTAATGGTACATTGTAGACACTCTTCTGCATGCTGTACTTCATCCTTTACTGCTTTTGTTTGGTTGTATTTTTACAAAAGGTTAGAAAAGTTGGGGCAGACATTCTCCTAGCACACGTGGTATGTGTATGCATGTATGTGTGTGCAAGTGAATAATTGCATCTTTTAAAAAGTCATTCGTTTCTACAGTTATTTACTTTGTATATGGAGCAGGGTCCTTGACAGTAGTTACCAATTCTTGAGCATTTAGTATTTTCTAGATACTATTTGAAACGTTTCAAACTTATTACTTCCTGTAAAACTCATAATTACCCTATCAGCTGGGTGCTGTGATCATTCCCATTTTGCAGATGAGAAAATCGAGGCATAGAAGATCCAGGTACCTAGTAAGTGAGCTAGCTGGGATCTGAACCTGTGTGGTCTGGCTTGACAGGCTCGTCTCTTAGCCTCTGTCCTGCCACTCCTGATGGTGTTAGACTTATTTGGAAATAATTCTCATTTCAAAATTTTAGAAGGGGAGACTCCGAAGCATTGAACGATCATTTTCAGTTCAATGAGAATACCAGGTTGGTCAGGCTACGGCTCATTGAGTCTTTTGATAAAGGGGTAGTATTTTAACAGGCCATGGAAGACCCTTGGGATACGTTTAATGGATGCTGTCGGCAGGGGACAGGAGGTGATGGGCATAAGATGCCAGGACCTTGAGTCTCTGGGCCACCTTTCTCAAGATTTAAGTCCTAATGCCCAGTGGCACCTATTGTATGCAAGGAGTTAAGTTCTCTCCTAGGCATCTACACTGGTACTATCCACGTACCATATTTGAGAGAACTGGTCAAATAATGAAATAATTCTTGGTCTTCTATGATTCAAATGCAGATTCCCCAGTTGACAAGATGCTGCCTACAGATGCTTTCATTTCCACTTTCCTAGGATCATTTTAAAGCTTCAGCAACACCAATGAGACAGGAACAAACTCCTGTTTCAAATATTTTCACCCAGTGTTTTCAGAAGTTAACATATTATTATTTTAAACAAAGTTGAAATAAACTCTTGTAGGAGTCCTGCTCAATTTTGTTCAATTACTGCTACCCTGTAACGTTTCTTTAGCAACAATTTTTTGACTTAATGATGTGAGCTTTTATGTCATTAGAAATTCAGGTTGAAGCACGGTGATTAGTAAAGAACTTGAAAGTGTATATATTTGACCAATGACCCAGAGGTTGTCACTCTAAATGAGAAAGAATGGGAGAATTGTATTTTTCCACCAACACAGAGTTTTAGGGGTCATAAAATAACATACTGTAATCAGGAGGATTTAAAAATGTTAATTATCAGATACTTCTTACCAGAAATAGTTTTGAAAATAAAGTTAAAAAAGGTTTTGTGCTTAATTATGTGGCTGGACTAAGTGGAAGTAGTGGCACTTATGCTACTATAATCACAGTTCATATTATTTTCAAAATCATGCAAAGGGGTTTGTCTCTATTGAAACATTTGGAATTACGATCTTGCTCATTAAATATGTTAAAGGTTGATTAGGATTGTCTGATTTAATCAGCAGTCAAGGCAAGCCCTTTTCATAAAAAAAATTTTTGTGAGTGATTTAAAAAATTCTTCATAGCATTTTATGTTATTTTTAAAAAGATTTTATTTATTTAATCATGAGATTGAGAGAGAGGGGCAGAGACATAGGCAGAGGGAGAAGCAGGCTCCATGGAGGGAGCCCGATGTGGGGCTCGATCCCGGCACTCCAGGATCACGCCTTGGGCTGAGGGCAGGCGCTAAACCGCTGAGCCACCCAGGGATCCCCTTCATAGCATTTTAAATATTCTTTTTAACAAAAGCAAATACATACTCCAGATGAAAAAAAACATTTGAATATAGAGGAGAAACTACAAGGAAGAAAAAAAAAGAAAGCACTCCAGAATCTCACCATCCAGAGATAATATTTAACAATTTTATTTTTGACAGCAAGAATGAAATTGATCTTACTGTCTTAGTTTGGATTCTCCTAAAAGCAGATCCTGAACTAAGATTTTCAATATAAGTGATCAGTTAAAATAGTGTTCTAAGGAGCAATCAGTAAGGGTGTGGAGAATGCAGGATGAGGAAAGGCAAGGAACTGGGCAAGGGTGGGATTTTTGGCTGAAGGGCCTCAAGTACTCTGGTTCTAGGAGGAGTGTTGGAGTATAAATTACACCCCCAGCGATTGGGTCCCCTTGAGATGAAGAGCCTCCTAGGCTGTCAGTCCCTGGCTTTGGGCTATGACGGTGGGGATGTAGTACTTGTGGGTGGCTCTCTGTATGACAGAGTGGCTCCAGTGCCCCAGGAGTACCCTCTGAGGATGGTGAAGATGAGCCATTAGCAGCAAAGTGTTCAGAAGCTAGGAGATGGGCACACTAACCTGTATGCCTAGTTAGAACTAACTACTAGTTTGCCTAGTTCTAAGTAGCCTAGTTTGAACTAGAACTCCTAAAAGGGACCCGACAGTGTCTGTCACTCTTATTTATTCCAGGAGGCAGTAGATAATAAATACATTGGTTGTTGACAGATAAATTAAGTAGAAACTTTAATGACGAGTAAGCATTTTGTTTTCCTGTGTATTAAGGCTTATGCTGCAGATGGTCCAGTTGTAAATGTCTGTTGGTTTGTAATGATTTCTGTTGCAGAAACTAAGGTATAGCTGGGACGCACAGTGGCTCGGGACCAGTGCCATGTCTTGAGGCTGGGTGCCCCACCACGGGGCCTGGATTGAAGGATGAGAATGGGCATAGCTGTGAGGGAGACTGAGCACGCAGAGCAGGCTGCATTCTCACAGCGTAGGGCCAGTGTTAAGGTGAGAGAAAAGCAAGAGATCTGGATAACTTGGGTGAAATCAAGAAACCAAGAGCAAGGCGGAGGAAAAGAAGATGTTACAAGGAACATTAGAGGCAGGACTGTCGGGCTGAAGATAATAAGAAAGGAAAGGAAGCTATGGTGTGAATTATCCAAATGATGAGTAGTTAGAAATTAAATTGGTATGTTCATAATCGTTTATGTTCATAATTTGGAATGGATGTGCCTGATGAAGTGGGAGTTCCTGCCCCATGGTCCATGGGAATGATAGTGTCTCAGAGATGGAAAACTCTCTATTTCCCCCTGTCCCTCCTGGCTGTCCAGCTCCATCCTATTCCCCCATCTGTGTTGAGAAGTACCTTTACACCTTAAAGGAGACTCCTTTTCTCAAGCTTGATTCTTAGTTGACTTTAAACAGCTGCTTAGGAATAGGAGAGAAAAACTTAGTATTTTAGATAAAATACTCTCAAACCCCTTTTCATAGTAATTAATGGACTAATTTTTAGAAATCAGAGTAAAACTAAATACAGAGGCTAGTGATATCACCGAAGAAGACCTTTGGTGAGTGAGGTCCTAAAGATTCACCTGTTGAATGTTTAAAATTCTATTGTAAGTGATTTTATTTACATCTAGGGGAAAATGTGGTGCTCCTCTAACCCTCGTTCAGTTCATTTGTACCTGGATACCTTGACTTTTACCTGTTTTGTCTGCCAGGAAAGTCTCTCCTTCCTTACTCCATTATTCAAATGTGGCGTCATCTTTGTAATTTCTCCCTACCTGGGCAGCACTATTCTCCTGTGACACATTATTATACCTTAATTATAGAACATTTTTTAGGACTTGGCATACCATATTATGCTTTTTAGTTAAGAGATTTTTTTTTTTTTTGTCTTCCTGCACTCCAGCTAGGAACTCAGCAAGGGCAAGGAAAAAGTCTTACTTATCTTTGGGTTCGTGGTGCACATAGTAGATCCAGAAAGGCTAAAGCTGGCTCATGAAAGCTCATGAGCCCTCATTGCACATAACTTCCCCACTCTTGGGCCAGTAATACCATGTTGGTAATTCAAAATCGGTCATCCTTGGAGTATTCATACCACAGAAATCAGCAAACCCTACAAATTAGGGCTCCCCGTCCAACAGCCACCTGTTAACCTTAACAGCACACCACTGTTAGTGACCTTATTTTACATTGAAGCTACACAAAGATTGTTGAAGTTAAGGCTGTCGAGACCTAGAAGGGGACACTTTTCTCTGCAAATTTGCGACTTTGTCATTATTGTGGAATTCCTGCGAGTACAGTTAATTATTGAAGCTTGTTATCACTGCAGGCTGTTAACAGTGAGCATTCTATGTTTGGATCCTCAACTAAAAGGATTTTTTTATTTGTTTGTTTGTTTCCCGATGATTTGGCTTCCAGGGTGGAGTTTTGGTAAAAATTACAGATGCATGCCCTCCTTTGAACTGCTCGGAAAAGGATCACATTCTCCCGGAGAATCAGTGCTGCAGTGTCTGTAGAGGTAAGGGCGCTTGGTGGTGGGGCTGTGCGTGGGATGAGGGTGGGACGCAGGAGGATTTCATGAATGGTGTGAAGGTGGGAACCTCGGTTCCAACTCTGCTCTGCTACGTCGAAACTTCACATCCTAGTTACCTTTCTCAACCACAGTCGTGTCAGGTGTAAACTGAGGGGAATGATAGTCAACTTTACAGGCCTGGCGGGAGGGTTAGATGGGATGATGCGTATCTAGTGTCATGCCTAGTGTGTGATAAATGAGGTGACAGTTCCTATAAGAAGAATGATAGTTCTTGTAATAATGGTTATTATAACCATCATCGTGATTAGGTTTTTCTCGGGAGTGGCATTGTTAAGCGTACTGTGTGGTCCTTTGCGGGGCCAATTCCTGTATCTGACAGAGACAGTGAATCTTTATTCAGAAAATTATATGCAACTTTTTCACTTCATGCAAGGGAAAAACCGTTCAGCTAAGTAACACCTACCTGCTAATTTATTCTCCGGCAAAAATTGTTTTGCTGCCCTTTTGGACTTTGCTTCTTGCCCAAATTTTATTGTCTTCAAACCCTGGATTAGATAACCTTTTACTCTCGGAAAGGGCTCAGTCTGGGAGAATCATGTGGATTAGGAGAACCTAAAACGGATTCAAAAATCTTAGAGAACAAATCCAGTTAAACTCAGCTCTTTTATTTTTTATTAATTTTTTTTAAAACTCAGCTCTTTTAAATGGAAGCTATACCCACAACGCATCTTTCTCTACTTTCTCAAATACTTACAGAGTTGAATCCTTTCTGACTCCCCCCTAAAGCTTCTAGAACATAGGGGTTTACTCAGGTTACTCCATATTTCACTTTTACTCAGTCGGTTCCCTAGCCCAAGGGTTGGCAAATACAGGGCCGCACAATATTTTTGGCCTTGTGGGCCACCAGGTTTCTGTTGCAATGACTCAATTCAGCTGCTTTGCAAAAGTAACTGAGACTATAGGTAGATAAATGGCTGTGGTTGTTAGAATACAATCTTATTTACGAGAACAGGTTGCAGCCCATAATTTGTGGACTCCTTCCTGTAGCATCTTCTTATATATAGAAATGTTACATGTTTTCTCATGGAATATTCATCTTATGTGGAAGTTTCTGTGCTTGGTCATGAGGAAGCTACATTTTGGCGACATTCCTAGGAAAATTTAGTATGCGGATAGCCAAGAATGGCTAACCGTGCCATCAGAATATCTTCCCTGGTTCATCTGCCTGTTGGCTATAAGCATATCTGCAGCTGAGATGCTATACAAGCACCTAAAGATTGACTGGAATTTTCAGAGGGATTCATTTATTAGTAACTAATGAGGTTGTAACGTAGGTCTTATAATTTAATGCAAAATCCATCACTTGCTATTTGTTGAGGTGCCAAGTGAGACTCGGTTTATGTAAATCCTTCCTGATTTATGGTTTCATTAGAGCAAAATCATTGATTATCCCACAGAAACTCCAGAGGAATTTCATTGCTGTGACCCAATTGACAATAGACCTGGTGCCACTACTTCTGCTAATACTTCTCCAGAATGAATGCCTGCACTTCTTGACCAGTGAAGACACTGAGAGATGCGACCTTTCAGTGAAAAATTAGATTCATTCAGGGACCCATTGCTGCAACTTAGCTTTTAGCAAACCTGACCCGCCTTTGAGGCAGGAGTAGACTTCCTAGATTAGATTATAGATCATTGATGATTTTCTTCTTTCTCCTGCTTCCTACTTAAGTAGGAAATGGAGATGACCAGCTGTTGGGAGGGGCTGCTGGTAGTTCTTCTGGAGGTGTCTGTATCAGAGAGGGTTATTTATTCTCTTTGACAACTCTAGATTTGGACAGGAACAAGAGAATGTCTTCAGAAAAGATATGAGGAGGAAGGAGGGCCTTATCCTGGGGGAATGGGTTGAATTAAACCGTTTGGATATGTGGATTCTTTTAGGGTTCTCAAATTTACTCCCAACTCAGGGTTCAGACGCTGGAATGGAGAAAGCATTATTTTAGACACAGGCCCTTTTCAGCAACATTTACTGTTGTTACCATCCCTTCTGTTGACCCAAAGTAGAGCAGAGCCCAGAACATCCGGCCCCCCCTTGTCCACATGCTGGAGCTTGCTCTGCACAGCAGACAATCAGAAACGGAAAGACGCACTGTTACTCTGTGCAGTGGGTTTAGTTTCTTTATTCTGAAAACGCAAAATTTATGTGACAGTTGACAAAAAGGCGACTCAGGTGAACTGCAAGGTGCATTGTCTCAAACTATGCTCTCCATGAATTTTATTCCAGATCTCTCAATTCCAGCTATTTCCCAAGAGCATCTTTAGAAGAAACATAATATTCCTTCGTCATATTGTGGGAAGTATTTTTCCCCTTGGACCTCTAGTTGTCTTTTACCTTTTCCTCGGTGTTTATGTTTTGTGCATCTTGCAAGAAGAGGAGGAGCTGGTTAATTTCTGTTCCGATAAAACTTGGAAAGCCCAGTGGGCCTGTTTGAAGGCATATTGTTTAGCTCTCCACCACACCCCCCCCCCTTTAAAACAGAAAGTAATGAAAGGGTGACAAATACTCAATTTCTATGTAAAATAATTTTTACCCTGCATATGGAGAAGCTGTACCACTTGCTTTGTGGATTGAGATTGTGTGCCGACTGGCAGGCAGTAAGTGAGCAGAGAGACCGGCCTCTGCTAACCTGAGATGTGCATTTCTGGAATGAGCACAGAGGTGTGATTTCAGTTGTGTGGCTCCTGCCACCCTGCTGTTATTGATTACAGAAACTGAAGTGGCCATAGCCTTTCTCAATACCTGTGTGAAGGGTCTTCAATTAGCATATTTATCATATTTCTCTATCTTACTGTAAATGTCAGGTCATTAGCCTGAGGGAAGTCACCCCATGAGAGCATATCCTTCCTTAGGAGTCTGAATCACAGCCTTCCTCAGGCCTGCCTAGGAAATGCAAGTTTTCTGGGGTTTGTTTTCCATCAGGATCCGATGAGCCGCCCTACTGGAGGAGGTTTAGACTGGGGATTTGAGAAAATCCCCAGTGCTTTTCGTTTTCTGCCTTGATTGGCTGGTTATATGATATACATAAAATGATCTAACTTTAAAAAAAAATTTGTTTTAATGATTACATTTTATGGATCCTTTAAATGTAGGAGATAAGATAGATGAAGATACGTTTTGACCACGTGGAATAATTTTGTCACTGTCATGTCTGTGACTTTGAAGGAAGTGATTTTTAGTACCAACTATTTTGTTGGATCTCCATATTTCATATACGAAATAATGTTGAACCCATTGACTTGATTCTGAAACTAATTTTTATTGAGTGATGCCCATTTTCTTATATGGCTATACAGTTTGCCACTGGGCACTCCCCACCCTGCCCCGACTAATCAAGGAGAGAGATTAAGATTTTCATGGACTTTTTCCACTTCCTGAGAATTAAATCTAAGACCATAGAGTTAAGAATAAGACTCTGACAGACTTATGGTGTTCACTGTATCAAGACAACTGATACCCAGACTAGAGGCTTGGGTACCTTGCCTCTTTAAATCTCAGGTTATGCCAAATGCTGTAACTAATTCCTCTGCCCTTTAAAGAAAAATGAAGGTAATCAGCTGAAATGGTGGTTAAATCCACAGGGCAATTGGAGCAGCCAAGATGTCCCTAAAGAAGGGAGTACAGGACTTAGGGAAGACACATGCCAAAAGAACCGGTGATGGACATTGGCAGGAGGAGGCCATCCTGCAATTGCTGGGGCCCAAGGTATCTATCACTACCAGTAACACCCAGAACAGTCCTAATCACCACCACAGGTTTTCTCTCCTATTTCAGGACAGTTTGTGCGAACAGCATGAAAATTCCTTTACCTTCATCATCATTTAAGGCAATGGCTGTAGCAGAAACCCGACCACTTAAAGTGTGAGGCCATGAGGTGGAAGAGGGGGAGTGGCCCCCGGAGTGACAACTATGCTCCTGCTTGGGAAGAAGTAATATAAGTGTGAATGTAGCCCCAGAAGAAAAAGATTGCTCATGAATTATTAGTGGTCTCCGTTAAAGGGAGGCAAAAAGCCAACAGTCTTGTCCGTACATCCTCCAAATTGCTCCAGGAAAACACACCAATCATTTGGACCATTCTAGAATTCTTAACACACTCCTCAGCGTTTTAGTCTCATAATTGACTCTAATTGTACCTTCAATGTCGCCAATGACTTTGGAGGGTTTTCACTGCATGTTTAAGACTTTTGGTGTTGGGAAAAAAGTTCTTGCCAACATCTGTTCCCAGTGTGTTTATCTGTAATTTTAATTCATGCTCACTTCCCTTGTCATCTGGTCCAGACTGAAATGAGTTGAGATTATTTGTACTATTTAAGATTTTATGACCTTCAATTAGATCCTCCCAAGGCTCTTGGCATCCTATGATTTCTTTTCCCCTAGTCGATCTTCATCATGCTAGTCTCCACCAGAATTTGTAATTGAAATGGTTTTAGAGTATTTTCAGAGTTTTTGAGATTAAAAGAGGCCCAGGAAAGTGGCACTTAATGAGTATATTATCTAGTGCCTAAGTAGAGGAACTGGCAATTAGCAGCTGGGGCAGGTCCTGTGCACACTGAGAAATGGAATCCCATCAACATCCCTGCAGCCATGGACTGAAGTGGACTGGAAAGACAGGGCTCTGTGCTCAACTGTTGAAGCTGGGAGCAGAGAAGGGCATTTGAAGATGAGTAGTCTCTGGGGGTTCATGATGTTGGTGGCTTTGCAAGTGCTGTAGTATATTAGGGCCTATGGAACCTCTGGAAGGAGGTGCATGGTCCCAGAGAGAAGGTCGGAAACAGGTCAGATGGCCTTGGACAGGGAGACCCTTAACTGCTGACTGTTGTAGAAGAACTGGATTGCTTTCTAGGATAGAATCTTAGAGTCCAGAGCTCAGTCTCTACCAGGTTCATCCTATTTGCCTAACTCTCCTCGACAAGGAGGTAAAGGATTG